TAGCTTCTCTTATTGTTTTATGGTCGGATAAGCGTAGCTACGTCAGTTTTAGGCTAAGTGCCTTTTGTTTACATGGACCGCTAGACTCCTGGCACCAGCTTTGGGGAGTCTTCAGAGGGTCACATCTTGACCACACACACGGTACTCTGTGTGTATGTAGACGTCATATGTTAATGAACCTATGTATATTCACGTAACCACAATAAAAGGAGTGCTATGGGGAACCTGGCTGAGAGTCTGACGGAGGTCAAGTGGGTGGAACGACACTTGGCTCCAGGCAGAGTAACACGAAGAACTTTGCGTACTTGGTGTTCAATGCTTTTGCTGTGTAGTTAAATTGTGTCGTTCCAGCGGTGGGCCTGCGCTAGACAGACCCAACATAGCTGCTAGCCCCCAGTTTCCTAATCAAGTTTGCTACTGTTGGAGGAGAACTTCACAAAAATGGTCACATGTGGCTAAAATGCTAAAAAAAAACAAAGATTTTACACATGTTCATATTTAGAAAAGTTTCATTCAGTGTTGTTGTTGTTGAACTACTTAAATCATGTCAGGTTTGAGGTTTTATTCTGACGCTTTGAGCAAACAAACATAACCTCGTGTTTCTTCCCCTGGTCAAAAAGTGCCTGAATGTTTTAAAACAGCTGTATAGAGTCAGATCAGCTCACTGGGAACTCCTCGTGCTGATGATCATACATCTTATCACCAGTGTGTCTGACTCACCTCTCGTACTCCTTGGCCGCGTCCTCCACCTGCACAAACAGCTCGTCTAATCCACTTCCTGTCACCGCAGACACGCCCACCACCTGCAGGTGCAGAGACTTTATCGCTTTATCCTTTTCTCTAACTCGCTCTGACCCATCAGTGCGTGAGTGTGGCTACATCCATCCTTTACATACAGTCTATTTAAAACCCTGTAAGCAGCTAAACCGTCAGCATAGCCTCTCCCTGTGTGCGTCACACAAAGTTACAACTTTGGGGTTTAAGGATTTGCTAAGGGTCCAGTTTTTCGGCGGCCCCTCTCACCCTCAGGTTGGTGTAGAACTCGTCCAGCACGAGGCTCATGGAGCGCGTCAGGTTGCTCACGTACGAGGTTTCCTGGTTCAAAGCGTCCTGGAAAGCCTCGAAGTCCTGCATCCACTCCACCGCGAAGCTGTGGTCAATGATGTCGGTCTGAAAAAGAAAACCACGAGAGGAAACCCCGTCATCAAACGACAGAAACAACGAGTTCAGCAATGAGCCGGCAGCACGCCGAGCGTCCTCACCTTGTTCATGACCACGATGAAGGGCAGCTTCGTCTTGTAGAGGATACTGAAACACAAAGAATCAGAGGACTTAAACAAAAACTCAGCTGACTGTCCTGATGGGATGCTCGGGTATATTTAGTGACTCATTTCAGGTAAGAACAAGGCCTCCACAATCCCCTGGCTCTTATTTTGAAAGTCTAGCTGCTGT